CCAGCCTGAGGAACTGTTACGCCTCGCATACTTCCCCTCCACCCCCTCTCCTCATTATTTTTCAAACAAAAACAATCAAACACATTTTTTAAAAATCTTCCTCCCCCCTCACATAGGCCTACCTCCCCGTCTCTCTATCTCACAACATAGGACATTCACCTCTTCCCATCTCTCCTGCCTCCCTCCCTCACTCCAGGACCCTCAGCCTCCTTCCCTCCCCTCCCCTCCCCCTTCCTCCCCCCTACCTGTGAACACACCCGCCAGTTCTACTCTACGATATTATTATTTTACAAGGTCCCCCCTCCCCCCTCCCCTCACATCTCTCTCCCTCCCATCCCCCTCCCCCCTGCCCCTACTCCATCCCAGACACACACACACACACACACGCACACACACACACACGCACACACGCACACACACACACACACACACACACACACACACACACACACACACACACACACACACACACACACACACACACACACGCACGCACGCACACACCTGCGGCCAGAGAGGTTGCACGCTGGCCCACTCGACGCTGGCAAACACTACCAGACACAACGCATCCCCCACATAATCGTATCTTTTTTGCCCCGTGGTGTGCGTGCGTGCATGCGTGCGTGCTTGCGTGTGTCCGTTGTCCGTGTGCGTGCGTTGGGGGGTTGCGTCCGTGTGCGTTGAAGTAGGTAGTTGCACATTGTGTGTACACGTATGTGTGGTGAGCATTCGGGCGTGTGCGTTTAGCGTGTGTCCTCGTCTTGCGGTTAACATAACGTGATAAATGTTCACATCACACAGGAGTATAAACTGCATTTAAAGTCAAGGACGAAACTCTGAAGATAATTGTGTGTGTGTGTGTGAGTGTGTGTGTGTGTGTGTGTGTGTGTGTGTGTGTGTGTGTGTGTGTGTGTGTGTGTGTGTGTGTGTGTGTGTGTGTGTGTGTGTGTGATTGCGTGTGTGTGTGTGTGTGTGTGTGTGATTGCGTGTGTGTGTGTGTGTGTGTGTGTGTGTGTGTGTGTGTGTGTGTGTGTGTGTGTGTGTGTGTGTGTGTGTGTGTGTGTGTGTGTGATTGCGTGTGTGTGTGTGACTGCGTGTGCGATTGTGTGGTTGCGTGTGTGATTGTGTAGTTGCGTGTGCGTGTGCGTATGTGTGATTGCGTGGACGTATGTGTGATTGCGTGGACGTATGTGTGACTGCATGTACGTATGTGTGACTGCATATGCGTATGTGTGACTGCATGTGCGTGTTTGAGATTGCGTGTGCGTGTGTGCGTGCGTGCAACAATTTGTACACGGAGCCTCTTATATTCGTAAAATTGGCGTTCATGGTCCTTAAGATCTGCGCATATTATTCTATTCACACTAACCATTATCTTTTCAAGTTGCAGACAAGTTTTGCGTTTTGATGAACCGAAGGCGACCATCATGTAACATTGTTTATCACTTACAACTGCTCATGACATAAGTTCTGCTGTCCAATGACTGGCATATAAGTGATGTCGATATAAGGACAATAGTTATTATTATAATTACATAATGACAATAGCAATTAAAACATTAATAACGCCTCGCTCCATACTAATAACAATGATGATGGTAATAAAAATGAAATGATAATCTAAAGGCAACATTACAAATAATAACGCCCCTAACAACAGTCATAAATAAATGAAAATGTACTACAACAAAAAAGATAATATTACAAGGAAATAATTCTCAAAAAAAGTCATCAAAGAACAGACAAGAAGAGAGAGAGAGAGAGAGAGAGAGAGAGAGAGAGAGAGAGAGAGAGAGAGAGAGAGAGAGAGAGAGAGAGAGAGAGAGAGAGAGAGAGAGAGAGAGAGAGAGAGAGAGAGAGAGAGAGAGAGAATATGAGAAAGAGAAAGAGAGAATATGAGAAAGAGAGAGAGAGGAAGATAGCGAAAGAGGAAAATACGAGATATTTATAAATCCGACTGCTAATAAATTCCCTAATTTTCGCTCGCTCAAAATCGCAAATTTAACTTCCCGGCTAAGATTTGCCCAAAGAAATCACACCCACTTAAAACACACGTGCCTGAATAACGAAAACAAAAATAATAATAATAATAAAATAGGCAAAGTATATCATACGTAATAATTTGCCTTCAATTTCGAGGGGGGAAAAAAATGAAAAAACATGAACTTAGGGCAAAATATTTTTAAAACATCAATTTGCCAACTTACCTGCGAGGAAAAAACGCCTCTCGTGGATAGTGTTGGCAGTTCTGCAATCCTGCCAACACTGACCTGTGATTCTAGTGTTTCTTTCCCACACTGTTGGTTATTGCAAAGCCCTTGCAATTACACGAAATACAGCAATAATTTCCACTCCCCCTTGACACCTGAGTCCGTGTCCGTTTGGGTTAACACTGATTCTTAATTAAGATCACTGGTTTTTTTTTATCTTTTCCTGACAACACGAACGGCCCAAAAAGCACCAATAGTCGGAGATAAATCCAGGACAGTACTTCCCCGTGTGAACGTTGAACGTGAACTGAACTGATCGCGTCTCGTAGTTTGGGTCTACTACTCGATCCGCGATGCCGATTGTTCATTTACCTGTCCGATTTATTTGTCGACAATGCTCTTCGATATTTCACCCCTACTCAAATGCAATAGTATGTAATCGTACATATATACTACAGGAAAAGATAAAAATGAATCCCGGTCCAAAGAAGAACTGGTAAATATTATGCGTTTGTTCCACATCCGCCACCTCAGTTCCTCCTAGGTTGGGTGGGTGGGGGGGATACGGCTGGGGATGGGGAGGGGCTCGGGGGGAGGGAGGAGACGCACTGGTGACCATCGCAGTCTATTTCTCCTAATATAATCCACATTTACTAGGCTGTTTTGTTGTGCGTTGTGGATATTACATCAGTCACCGGTGAAGACGAGGAAGGTGGCACACTATGATTTAATGGAGTTAGTGCGACTGGCCTTGACATTTGAGCAAAGGTACGGCCACAAGAGGAGGGGGTTCGGTCCGTTAATAAGTCGGTCGAGTCGCCGGAGCACATTTACGCCACGCTATTTTTCCTCCCCGTTTCGAATCACCAAACCTACGACTGCTTAATCCAGATGCATCAGCGCTATCTATTCGAAACACTCTAAAGAGCCTCGTAAAAGCCGAAGCTCTATTAAGCTGAGGGAAAAGAGGGGACAGTGCGTCAGAAGGCGAGAGCTGCCAACTCGACCAGAGGTTCCAGGGGAGGCCAGGCTACCTGAGAGAGCGTCGCACAGAGACATGTGCTACCTCGCAAACCTCATCTCTCTCCCTCTGTCTCTGTCTCTCGCCCTCGCGGCCTGTCCGTGCCCGACTCTCTCTCTTTATGTATGTGTATTCATATATATATACATCTATCTATCTATCTATCTATCTATATATATGTTTATTTATTTATTTTATTTATACATACATGTTTATATGATATATATGTATAGATAGATATAGATTTATGTGTATATATAGTGTATGTGTATACATCAACACACACACGTGTGTGTGTTGATATATATATGCATCTATGTATATAAATACATATATACAAACATATATATACATATATATACATATATACAAACATATATATACATATATACAAACATATATATACATATATACAAACATATATATATATATATATATATATATATATATATATATATATATATATATATATATATACATATATAACGTAATAAACACATACATATGTGTATGTATATATATATGTATATATATATATATATATATATATATATATATATATATATATATATATTTAATATATTTGTGTGTGTGTGTCTATATATGTGTGCGTGTGTGTATGTATATGTATGTGTGCATATGCATATAATTTTGCGTCAATTTCAGCTGTCCTTAATGCAATTCATGTGAACCTCGGAAATCCCTTAAACAAGGAAACAGACTCGCTAAGATAGAAGTCCTTTGAGCGAAGACAAACCAAGAGAAAGGGAAGAAGAACGAGAAGGAAGCGAAAATAACTCAATATACACCATATTTCATTTTTTTCTCCTTTCAATCGTAATTGATATAGGCCAACGCGAGGAGGCAGTCATGTAAAAGTACCTCTCCTTTCGCGGAACATGTAAACAGTCGTGGGAAAAGGCGCGCGTGTGTGTATATATAGAGTTAGGCTTTGCTGGCCGTGACTATTCTTAGGCCTGGATACTTGACGCCCCCCGATGCCCACTTCCGGTAATTGTGGGGAAATTGGTTCGCGATGTTGATGTGTGTGCAGAATGTAGGCCTATAGGAAGTAACCCCATGTGCGCGAATTATCTTTATTTTTGTGTGATGACTGTTGGCGGGAGATAAAATATTTCTCCATTAACATTATGTGTTGAGTATATGTGTGATGTGATTTTTTATTTTATGTGGATAAGAAGTTGATGTGAGATTGAATATAATACATTTTTATGATTAGTGAAGAAGTAAACAGACAAGACATCCACTGGAGTGTATTAACCTTTGCAACGCGAATGAATATGAAGAAAATGAACGATCTTAAAACCTGTGAAGACGAAAGGCGAAGAAAAATGATCTTTATTCCCCAGCGAAACAGTCTGTTTGGTTCTGAACAGGTCAACGGGCAGATAGAAAACGATTGACACTTGATGGGAGAACAAAGGGATGTGGTGCGGGCGCGCGAGAGAGCCGCTACTCGTATGGGGGTGGAAGGGGAGTGGCAGGAGGAGGAGGGGGGGGGGGGGGGGAAGAGAGAGAAAAGGGAGGATGGGGAGAAAGAGGAGGAGAAAGAGAGAGAATAGGAAGGATGGGGAGAAAGAGGAGAGGAGGAGAATGGAGGAAGGATGGTGGGAAGGAGAGGAGAACGGTAGAAGGAGGAGGGAGAAAGAGAGAGAAAAGGAAGGATGGGGAGAAAGAGGAGAGGAGGGGGAGAAACGGAGGGAGGATGGGAAGAAAGAGGAGAGGAGGGGGAGAAAGAGAAGAAGGGA